ACGTTGGTCTCCCTGGTCAGCATTGAATGTGAGCGTGCAATGGATCTAACCTGTTTGATCAGCTGGGTGTTGAGGGATTGAAGCTCAGGTTGTGGCATGCCAGTGCAGTCCAGACCATGCAAAATGGCTGGCCATATGCACCCCTGCCATAGCTGCAGACGTAAACGCATAGGGACCGAGTGGTTGCGTAGAATCTTCCCCAGCCTCGTGTAGGAGTTCTTGGCCAGTTTGAGACGGTGTCGGTAGGACTCCTGCTCGAAACGTCGGTAGGTGATGACGGCTCCTAGGTAGACATGCCGGGTCACCAGCTTGATCAGCATGCTGGCGCCTTGGATCACGAACTTCATGTGGGGCCCCGTGGGCCGCTGTACCACATACCTGGTGAGAGCTTTGGTGGCCTGCGGTCCCTGAAGCTCAAGCAGAATCACTGTTTTGTCCACGCTGATCTGCATGTCATTGTCAAGAAGGCACCGGAAGACGTGCTTCATAGCCTGGTAGGCGTTCTCGAGGTCCTGGCCTTTGCGTATGAGCCATGCATAATGTTGATCATCCGCGTAGGTAGTGGCTGCTTTGGAGACATCTAGGATCGGTGGGCTGTGCATCTGTTTAAGGACCCAGCCTGAGTACAGTGTCCAGAGGATTGGCGCGAGGCCACACCCCTGTCGCAGACCTCTCCGCAACTTGAATGAGGTCTCCTGCCCACAGTGCGTTATGCGGACAAAGGCTTGGTCATGTATGAGAAGCACAGCCTGGATCAAGGTCTCGGGGATGTGGGCGTCCCTCATGGCTGCTTCCAGGGCCCATCTGGGCACATGATCATATGCACATGTGATGTCTAGTGACAGTTGACAGCCACCATAGAGACTGAGGTTGGGTCGTCCCTGACGGCGTGTGTGGGGTGTCTGCACATGCTGCTGCACCAGGGTCCTCACGGCTGCGCAGTGGCTGATGACGCGTTCCAAGGCTTGAGACAGTGAGCGCTGGGCCACATAGGCAAACTGTGGTGTGTCGGTCAGGTAAACGGCGACATAGGGTTGTATGCGGCCTGCAAGAACTGCTGCCAGAGTCTTGGCTTGGAACGAGAGGAGACATATGGGCCTGAGATGTGCCGGTGACTGCAGTGACTTGTTGGGCTTGGGCAGCAGGGCCATATCGCACTGGTTCCACCTGTCCGGGAGAGCCTGGCATCCGGCAACCAGATGTTGTGCAAAGAGCCTCTCCATGAGGGGCAACACATCCTGACCAAAGTGCTTCCACAATGCCGCCGGTGCACTGTTCGACGGCATGGCCTTGCTGGGTTGCAGCCTGAGCAGGGCTCCCAGCAGCTCGTGCCGGGAGATCTGAAGGTCCTGTGTGAGGCGCGGGCGGTGAGTCCCTGGGGTCCCATCGTAGAGCTTGGTAAAGTACTCACTGATTTGATGTAGCTCCTCTTCATGCGTCTGCAAACTGCCATCCGCTTTCCGAAGTTGCAGTCGGCGTCGCGGTGCCTTGGGAGCAAAGCGGCGGGCAGCTTGGTGTATGTTGGTTGAGCTGACAGCCTCCGCAATGGCGACGATCTTGCGGCTCCTGCATGCCTTGCGGAGTGCTCGGGTATGAGTCTGCAGCTTGGTCGCTGTCGCCCAGGCCTGGAACACAGCACCAGCAGGAGGGGGTCCCTGCCGCCAAGTATGGATGTCTTCACCCAGACGGCGCAGAAGGTCGCGAAGAGACCACATACATTTGACCTGACATGCGAGGGGGCCATCGTGGTCTATTGCGCAGCCTGATCCAGTGTGCTGAGCTGCCGGTGGAGAGGTCCGGGCGGCCTTCTCCCATCCTGTAATCAGGAGCTCATCAAGACAGTCTGGGGCGGCTTCTGCATGAAAGGACGATCGGACCTGCTGATGCAGTCGAAGTTGAAATGCAGGCTGTCGTAGTAGTTGCTGCACCTGGCGTGGCTGGAGTCTGCGAGAGCCCTGCTGCGTAGTAGGTCTCCGAGGGGCTGGCAGGTAGGCTTGGATGGGTCGATGGCGGCAACCGCTGACTGCAACAAACGGTGCATCAAAGGCTGAGGCTTGTTTAGACACGGTGTCCGTCATGCTCCCACGAGTGATGATGAAATCGATCTGGGTGCCTAGCCTGGAAGAGGTAGCACCAGGGGGGAGATATGTGCGGCTGGCCGAGCCTTGCCTGCCCCATGTGTTTAATGCACAGCATTTGTGGGCCCGCAGGAGCTCCATGAGTGCTCCTTGGTCTGGATGACCTGGTGCATCTGGCTGTGGGAGTCCTGCTCCGCAGATGGGCTGCTCTTCACTGACTGACGAGTTGAAGTCCCCTATGAGGACGCAGCCATTGCGCTGTGGGATGGATCCCAGCCATCTGTCGACCTTGTCCCATATCCGCCTGCGTAGTCTGATCAGAGCATCAGTCTTATTGGGGCCCCTGAGCGAGGTGTTCTGCAGGTTCCATGCCTGCTGGTATACACACAGGAAGTCGACGGGCACCGCGGTGAGAAGCCGAACGTGTAGTAGACGACCTGGGACCAGGGTGGCCGTTCTGATACTGTCAGCAGGAAGGAGAGTCTTTCTGATCAAGCACATCACGCCTGATTTGTCTTTGCCCTCTCCAGCTGAGTGGATCACATGCCAGTCTGCAGCGTTGGCGACTTCTTGGGAGGTCGTAAACTCGAGGTCTTCCTGCCACCCGGTTTCCTGGAGGACGCACAGGTCTACCGGCCTTTTGTCCTCATGCTCGCCTTGCAACCATGTGAGGACCTCTCTATAGGTGTGGCCGGCCAGGCCTCCAGCGTTCCAAGACACCACCCTCAGTCTGTTGCGTCGCTCCTCTGGCAGCTGAGACTTGGGTGGGGGTCGGGTGTCGCGAGCTTGTCGCAGCAGCTGTTGTAAGTGCAGTTTTCTGCCTCTGTAAAACGTGGTGTTGTCTTCGTTGAGGCTTGCGCGATGAAGGGCTCGGCGGAAGGCCCTTTTTCGAACTGGGTGGGCTTGGCCTGAGTGTGGGGCGGTATGGCTGTAGTCACCATCTGGCTTCGCCCTGATATGAAAATGTATGTGCCGGTGTGTGGCTTCAAGGCTCCCGTGGTGCTCGGGAAGCCTAACCCTCGCATCTGTTGTTGCCACGCTTGAGTGTACACAAACCCATAGAAGAAGAGAATGCAACATTGTCTTCAAAGTTCTCGGCGACGGGCAACAACTCCGGGACTTGGGACCCGGACGGCTTGTAGTTCTGAATGTGTCGGGCCTTGGCGGGACGGTCTTCCTGTCCTGCGCGGTGGTCTAGGGTGACCGTAGAGTGAGACACAAGCATTGCAGCCTCCAGTCGATGTTCTGCTCGGGGGCACCTGTGTCGGGTCGAAGGTCGAGTGGCCGTGGGTTCTGCAGGCGTCAACTGTGATGAGTAGGGCCAGGACCCGGGCAGTCAGGAGATCCGCCTGGAACTGTACGTGCTCGGCAAGCCTGGTCAGGTCAAATGCTGAGCTCAGCATGAAGTGGCCCACTGTACCAAGCAAAGACGCCGACCGCGCAGCGGAGGGCGGCGGGCTCCGGTACCTGGCTCGCTTTGACATACTGAAGGTGGGATGTGATAGAGCACGTAGTAGAATGTACAACACCCATGTGCAGCAGAGTCTAGAGCAGGATGTCATTTTCTGCAGCCTCATCGGCGGTCGGGAGTGCAGCCGACTTCGTCGTGGCTCAAGGGGAGTCCGTCGTGGCTCAAGGGGAGTCCATGAAGGGAGCTTGGCGCACGAAAGCTTGAGTCTACTAAGGCGCTGGTGTCCTGGCTTCTCACTTGACTCCATGCACTCAGGACGGCCTGCCGCGCCTTGGGAGAAGGAGCGCATGCTGCTTAACCAGTGCGCGAAAGTAAGGGACTGCACTAGGCAACGCGCTTGCTGGATCCATACCCCGTAGGCCTCCCACTTTCTGCTCGTGCCCGCACGCGGCTTCGGCGAGGCGGAGGAGTTGGTAGCCGGAGCGGGAGGCGGGGGTGCCGAAGAGCTGGCAGCCGTCGGCCTTGGGATCTCCTCCGCGGCGTCGTCATCGGTGTCCGCCAGGATCTCGTCCAGGTTGAGGTCCATATCGTCGGCCGCATCAAGCATGGCGTCCAGTTCCGCTTCAGTAAGCCGAGTGGCTCTGCTCTCCCTGACACCGCCAGTGGTGCCTGGGCGAGCTCCTCGGTGATCTCCTTCTTCTGAACTGGGGCCGCGGTCGCTAACGTAGAGGAGGTCCGGGTGGAGACTGTCCGCAGGTGTGCCCTGTCGGATGACGACCGCGATCCTCGTCAGCTCCTGCCAGTTGCGGGGGATGTAGGTGATCACCGTGCCATTCAACTGGAGAAGGGAGGCCACCGTCGAGGAAATCTGCCAGGACAGGCGTTGGATAGCCTCGGTGCGCTGTGGCGGGAAAACCGGGATGGGAGGCGGTGGTCCTCGTCTGGGCTCGTTGGGGTCCGGGTGCACAGACTCTCCATCGGAGATGAGAGGGTCCACCAGTTCTTCATCGGAGTTGTCCTCCATATGTGGTCGTCCCCTGCCTGGGGCCCGGAACGATGCTGCTTGAGCCCGCTCAGTGGAGAGCCGTCTATACATGTTCCTGTGGATCACACAGCTACCATTGCAAACGCCCTGATACAGTAAGTCCAGAGACAACCGGAGCAACATACGAGGGCACTGGAGGTTGCGGTCGTGATGGGTGGCTATGTTCTCGTCCTGGGCCAGAGCGGGGATTAGGGTGAGGAGGAGCCCCGCCATTAGCATGACCAGGATGTAGCTGGGGGCCCATATGGTCCAGAGTGCTGTCACTGACATCTGGTTGATGCAATTGCATGAGGCCCGAGCCAGCTGATACGCTCCACGTAGGGGTCGCTGTAGCGATGCGGGGAGACCGACCCTGGCAGCCTGTGCTGTCCAGCACCTAGTCCAGTTCGTCCAGAGCTGGATTCTGCCGAAGGCACAGGACACTGAACATCGCCCTGCCAAACACAGCATCAAAGCCGATGACAGCAGCAAAGACAGCACACCGGTCTTCATCCCGGAGAAGAACCCAGCTCTGGTACAGGATGACAAAGGCGGAGGCATTGTTCCAGAGCCTGTCGCAGCGGAGCCTGAAGGCCAGTTGTAGGCGCGGCGACTGCAGATGCCAACCTGAAAGGTAAATCCGCTGCTCCACCGTACGTCTGACATAGTCCTCAAGCGGCGCGGGCTCCCAGAAGTTACGAGGTATTTTGTTCCATCCGTGGATCTCAGAGTCCAGGGGAGCCATGGCAGGTGTAGGGGTGTCGGGGCCTCCGAAGTCCTATGACTCTGATTATTCTGATCGGACGTCAGCCCCGGCCTCAGCGCACGCAGCCCTCTCAGAAGCCCCAAAGGCAACCACTGAAAAATCAAGATATGGAGGCCCCAAGGGGCGAGGCGTAGGAAGGCCCTCCAGGCCCATCCAGTCATTTCAGCCGAGATGCTTATATATACATACATACATACATACATACATACATACATACATACATACATACATACATACATACATACATTCTTACATACATATGTATGTAAGAATGTATGTACATATGAATCTGTCTACGTATATATATATATATATATATTTACACATCTACACATGTACATACCATCGTGATTCTTGCTATGCTACTGTAAATATTGTGAGCAAGCTTCGAGATTCAGTCTTGTTCCGAGTGGGGTTTTCATCATCAGTACCCTACTATCCACGATCGGCATTAGGCACTAGTGTCCCGAATCACTTGAGATCCAGCTGTCAATACTGGGTTTTGAAGAATTTTCGGAGTTCATTCCTTTTTGCTCATCATGAATCAGAAATCAGAAGTCTGGTCGCTTCTGTCGATGCCTTTCTGCTGAAGTTTTTTTGTCTGTAGAGTCACTGTAGAGCTTAAGAGACCACAGGTGAGGGCATTTATGGGCTCGAGGGATCATGCCGCGATGATTCGCAGATTCACTACGGTCGATTCTGCCATCAACGCATTTTGCCTTAGCTGCTCCCTAAATCCCTAAATCCCATCAAACCCCTAAATTCCTAAACCCCTAAAGCCCATCAAACCCCTAAATTCCCTAAACCTAGCTTGCCTTTAACTAGCAAGCGAGCCTTCTGTCTGACGCATTAATGTTGTTGTGCCTGCAGCATCAATGATATTACGTGCGAGGGAGTCAGGTATCCGGCTTCTATCCACACACTCGCAAAAAATCGCATGCCTTACTGTCTCGTTGTCTTCAACTTCTTCAGCTGATGCCGCCTAGACAGCTTTATGCGCAGATTCACCTTGCAATGTGTTTTTGATGCTTTTCATCCGCGCTGCCTCGTGTTTCTCACTTAGGTACCTGTTGAAATTCAGTCTTTACACTCGGTGATGGCAGCGCCTGCTTACCTTTCGAGTAGCAGGCGACGAGCTCGTCGTACCCATCGGCAGAGCCCTTCCAGGACTTGCCAAGTCTGAGCATCAGTTGGGGGGTTGGAGTAATCAGAATCGCCCCTTTTGGTCCGTAACGTGCCGTGCGCTACAATATTCCATTCTTACTAGTTGCTAAGGTCCCTGTGTTGATATATGGGGCTCGGTTTGTGAATGGGTTGAAGTGCTTCAACTGCGTGTCAGCCTCCTGTAAAGCCCTTATGAAACCACTCGCAGATCCAAAAACCCTAAACCCAGGAAAGATCCTATACCCTAAACCCTAAACCCTAAACCCTAAACCCTAAACCCCTAAACGACCCTAAACCCTAAAGCCCCCCCAAAAAAGGCTGCTTTGTGCTTAGGACGGAGAGCTTTGTGTTCTTTGAGCCGTTCGGACCTCCAAGGGCCAGAGTCTTTCTGAAATCAGGGTTTAGGGTTTAGGGTTTAGGGTTTAGGGTTTAGGGTTTAGGGTTTAGGGATCTGACACACTCAACGCTCTGCCAGAGGGCGATGATAATCCTTTTACTAGTAGTGTAGTAGCATTCTAATGCAATACTAGCTTAGTATATAATATTAGTATAGTAATATTCCTCTAATGTAGTAGTAACATGGTGATCTTATCGTGACATTGTAGTAAGGTTCCTAAAGCAAGAAGCCTCACTGCAGGTCCCAATCTCGGAGCTTGAACGCAACGGCCTGCCTTCCCCTAAACCCTAAACCCTAAACAGGAACGAAGCTTCTTCTACTACCGGAGAAAGGCCCGCTGGGTTTCCTTTCGCCGAGAGGCTTTCTCAATCAAGGATGTTTGGGGGTTGAGGGTTTAGGGATGTTTGGGGTTTAGGATGCAGGGGGTGGGTTTAGGGTTTAGATGCATTCTCACGGTAGGAGGGAGCGGGGATTCTTGTCACGGTTGTTCTCCTTAGTTCTCTCATTCGAGCTAGCACTGACAGGTTCCAGCCCTAAACCCTAAACCCTAAACCCTAAACCCTAAACCCTAAACCCTAAACCCCAAACCCTAAAATGCCTTGGGGGTCTAGTCCCTTCGTGCTTGGCATCTTTGCGGGCAGCCTTTGGGCAGTAGATGACTTTCCTACGAGTATCGATATCCCGTTTTAGGGTTTAGGGTTTAAGGTTTAGGGTTTAGGGTTTAGGGTTTAGGGTTTAGGGTTTAAGGTTTAGGGTTTAGGGGTTAGGTCAGTATTGATATCCCATCTAGGCCCTTGAAACCATGACTAATCGTGCAAGACGTCGCAGTCGTTTGTAATTTTTTCTTCCTTGTAGCAGTAGCAGTAGCAGTAGTCGTGGTAGGCTTCGTCGTAGCAGTAGTAGTCGTCATTGTCGTCATCGTCGCAGCCGTTGTGGTAGTTGTAGTAGTGGTACGAGTCATCGTCGTCGTCGCAGCAGCAGAAACAGCAGCAGTTGCAGTTGTAGTTGCAGTTGCAGTTGCAGTGGTGGTGGTAGGGGTAGTTGCAGTGGTATTAACAGGTGCAGTGGCAGTAGCAATTGGCAGCAGGAGTGGCCATGGCGGCCACATGGACAGAAGTGACAAAAACGATAATCCAACTTGAAACCTTTTGAAACTTCAATGAAAATTTTTAGATAGAGCCCAACTAGATTCGTGTTGATTCACACAGCTAGAACCCATAAACCCTAAACCCTAAGCCCTAAACCATGGAAAACAAGATACCAGGATTGCTTCCGCTCCCTTTCAGAGAGGCTCCCTCTCTGATGCCGGCCTGGAGCCAAACTGCGAAGGTTGGGATTAAGAATGGGTTTAGGCTTTAGGGTTCCTTTAAGGGCCTTTCCTTTTTGGTGGTTTCAGTTTTGGGGCTGCGAAATCTAGAGTTGCAAAGGTTTCTTAGGCTGAACCCTTGTTTTTGTCCGCTTCTGATACTCACATGTGATGTGCTCCTTTTTTGTGCGTGTGTTAAGACGGAACCCTAAGCAATTACCAAATATTACTCTCTAGGGCTCCTCACGTTAGCTCTATGAAAAATATATCCCCCCAAACCCCTTTTCTACGTAAAAAAGGGCCCATTCTACCTACCTACCTACCTACTACCCACCTGCCTACCGACCCCTACCTACCTACCTACCTACCTACCTACCTACCTACCGACCGACCGACCGACCTACCTACCTACCTACCTACCTACCTACCTACCTACCTACCCAAAACCCCTATTCTACGTGAAAAAGGGCCCTCAACCCTAAACCCTAAACCCTAAACCCAAAACCCTAAACCCTAAACCCAAAACCCAAAACCCTAAACCCTAACCCGTAAACCCAAAACCTCTATTCTACGTAAAAAACAGGCCCATCAATTCTCTGGAGGTCGTGTGCTGCCCTTTCAGGGTTCCTTTCAGGGTTCCTTTAAGGGTTTCAGGGTTTCAGGGTTTAGGGTTTAGGGTTTAGGGTTTAGGCCCTTTAAGGGTTCCTTTAAGGGTCCCTTTGAGGG